TATAGATGTGTGTAGTTATTATGTCCTGTTTAATAGATCATTGTTGTTTATGCTTTGTCGAGGGGGTCTTTAGAGACATTGTCGTCTTACCTATATATTGAGATCATCGGAAGAGACCGTCTCACTAGGGACCCAGCGAGACACAAACAAGCTTCTATTAACGATGAAATAAAAGTTAAACATGACCTTTGGAAGGGAAATTTTTAAAACTGCCTCCTAAAATAATAAGGAATATATAAAATATATAGAAGGTTCGTGCTAGGTTCATTGACTTGACCTTTCCGGTCATAGAGAACCACATGGGTACAAGAACCACCGCTTTCCGAATATACTAAAGTCTCGCTGCACAGTGTTAGTGGACGTTGATTCATCATACATCATCAACGTTGATTCATCATATATCATCAACGTTGATTCATCATATATCATCAACGTTGATTCATCATACATCATCAACGTTGATTCGTCATCAACGTTCATTCATCGTACATCAACAACATTGATTCATCATAAACGTTGATTCATCATGCATCATCAACGTTCATTCATCATACATCATCAACGTTCATTCATCATACATCAACGTTCATTCATCATACATCAACGTTGATTCATCATACATCCTCTCAGACGTAGGTTCGAACCCTCATCACGGCCCTTGTGGATTTGTTCATCATACATCATCAACGCTGATTCATCATACATCATGAAACGTTGATTCGTCATCAACGTTGATTCAACATTAAATTAAAGTTGATAACACTGATTGAGCCTTAAACCAGAGCCCATCTTGCATGCTGTGCCGCTGAGGTAATAATTGCTTAGTCTTTCATATGCAACAAAATGTTTAAGATAACTATTATTATTCGGAATTTTTGAAGATTATTTGAGATAAATTGCTATCTCAGTCTCTCTCTTCCACCCTCTCTCTCTCTCTCTTCCATCCTTCTCTCTCTCTCTTCCATCCTTCTCTCTCTCTCTCTCTCTCTTCCACCCCCTCTCTCTCTCTTCCACCCCCCTCCCTCTCTCTTCCACTCTCTCTCCCTCTCTCTTCCACTCTCTCTCTCTCTCTCTCTCTCTCTCTCTCTCTCTCTCTCTCTCTCTCTCTCTCTCTCTCTCTCTCTCTCTCTCTCTCTCTCTCTCTCTCTCTCTCTCTAAAACTGTACATCTCCCCTCTCAGTCTCTGCCATAGAGTGCAATGTAAGCAAGACATGGATGTATTGAGAAATTGAAGGAGGAAATTTATATTGAGAGTGGAGAGAACTGTTGAAGTGTAGAGAGAGAGAGAGAGAGAGAGAGAGAGAGAGAGAGAGAGAGAGAGAGAGAGAGAGAGAGAGAGAGAGAGAGAGAGAGAGAGAGAGAGAGAGAGAGAGAGAGAGAGAGAGAGAGAGAGAGAGAGAGAGAAGTAGTGGAGACGCTCCCCAGCGAAGGCCCTGAACCCCTGCACCATGGGGGACCTCCATATGCGTCTCAACAAAACATTCAGAACTCCTCCTATGATAGGTTCCCACGCTCATCGTTTGCCAGGTGCGCACAGCTTGCTTCATTGTCCAGTGTAGGAATAAATTGTTTGCTTCTACAACAAAGGAAAAAGTGTTTGCTTGTCCGGTGTAAAAAAAAAAAAGTTGTATATTTACATAATATCAGCACCTTCTGTTGTCCTACTTAAGCTGCCAGAGTCAGGAGGAGGAAGACGCGGAGGAGGAAGACGCGGAGGAGGAAGGAAGGGGAGGAGGAAGGAAGGGGAAGAGAAACAGGAGGAGGGAGGGAGACAAGCAAGGGGGTAATATGCACCAATCATTGCTATATATGTCCATTATATTTGCTCATTTCAGCTTCTTTTCTCTTTGTAAGGGGAGAGATGGAGAGGGGAGCCGAAGATTGATTGTAGACGTGGTGGTGATTGTGGTTGATGTGGTGGTGATGATGGTGAAATTGAATATAACAAATATATAAAAACACGCGCATATTCGAATGGAACGTTGTGTCAAAATTTTAAAGCGATCGGTAAAGAACTTTCTGAGATTTAAGGTTTTGAACAAACGAACATTTACATTTTTATTTATATAGATATAGAGTACATGTATATAAATATATGTGACAGAAGGAGTGAGATGAATGTTCATAATAAGGCAAATAGGACACTGGGATTTATTAATCGAAGCGTTAGTAACAAGACACCTGGTGTTGTTCTTCAGTTATATCTTGCTCTGGTTAGGCCCCATTTAGATTATGCAGTTCAGTTTTGGTTGCCGTACTATAGATTGGATATAAATTTACTTGAACGTGTCCAGGATAAAATGACAAAGTTAATTCCCCACATTATAAGCCTGTCATATAAGGAGAGATTAACAAAGCTGAAATTGCATTCACTGGACAGGCGAAGAGTTAGGGATGCCATGATAGAGGTTTACAAGTTGAGTTGAGGGGAGCTGTCTAACTCCCAGGTACCTATTTAGTGCTAGGTAACAGGGACATCAGGGTGAAAGAAACTCTGCACGTTTGTTTCCGCCTCCACCGAGGATCGAACCCGGAACCTCAGGACTACGAATCCAAAGCGCTGTCCACCCAGCTGGCAGGTGCCCTCTTCTATATATTTCTTATGTTTTTCTTCACTTGAGAAGGAAGTTGAAAATTGACTCCAAAGTTCATATTTCAGTTTTATTATGGCCTGACGCTAAGAGATGCGACTTGTTGATCCTATCAACATTTTCAAAGAGCGAATATATAACCAAGAGTGAGGTGAAGGGGTCGCTGCAGCTAACCAGTGGTGGCTGGGACAGTAGGGGCCGCGAGAGACACCCACTTAGGGGCGCAGTGTATAAAACTGGGATCGTGTTACCCTGCCAGGAGAACAGGAGAGGGCTGGTGCAGTGGGCTGTGTTGCTGCGCTTGTCTCCACTGTAGGTCATTGAAAGAATGGTTAAGGGCTTTTTCTAACGGCGATTTTAGTAAGATGATGTATTCAGCTAGCTTTGGCTCTTGTGAGATGGCGAACATCTCAGAAGGTATGTTAATCTGGGGAGGGACAGTCATCTGGTGATGAGGTAAAGTGCATCGTGAGCATCAATGTCTTCAATCCTCTCATCCGTCCTCTTCAGGTCAGCGATCTTCTTACCCCAGGCCCTCGTCGATGGCCTTCGACCCAAGAGGAGCTCTTAGGAGTGTGCTGTCCTCAGGTTTGGTTATATGGATATCTAGCAAAACATCTTTTATTTGATCTGTTATGCTCTAGTTTTAAGAGATTATTTCACTCTTATAAGAGTTCGGGGTAAGGCCTAGATTCGCTCTGTGCTCCTAAATTATCCTGATGTCCTCCAAGATGGGAGGGTCTGGGGAACCAGCTCAGGTACCATCATTCACGAATCACATGTTAAGGTTCCTGGGCAGGTTTTCGGTGACTTATTTAATGACTAGGCAGAAAGGAAGAGTAACTAGAGGGTCACCTGTTGGACACCTTCTCGTGAGTCAATTTCATGTGTACCAGTAGCAACAGTAGCTCTAGGTCCTTACTGTAGCACGAATGTACAAATGGGTAAAGGAAAAAGAAATAACGCCGAACAAAATGAAGTGCTGCATCTCTTCTTACCAGGTTGAAAAACATTTTTGAAATCCAGCTTGATCATGATCTGTTCGTCTGTAATGTTAGCAATGAAAGCTCTAGCTGCGTGAGCCGCTGCCTCACACCATTGGGGAATGCTGAGCTCAAGCTGTTTTTGTTTGAGCGTGTCGGCCGCTGCCTGGCTAGCTGTTTCTCACGGCAGCCTTACCAGCGAGGCGCCAGGGGGGGGGGGGGGAGTTGCCAACAGCTATTGGTTTGATCCCTCCATCCTTTTTTCTCCCAGCACAGAAAAAACCTTTTGGCCTCTGGTTCGTTGCCAATTAGGCTTCTGTTGGTGAATCCAGTTAGTTTCACCAGAAGGTCCTATGCAATGTCACCGTATGCAGAGTTGAACATTTGATTAATGTAGTTGGACCTTAGTCCTGTGAACCTGCTTGCTGATCCTGGTGGGAAGGCTAAAGATGCTCTTTAACCACGGATTCGACCACACACAGGGGTTCTGCTCTGGTGACACCGACTGATGGAACACTGTCGTCACGGGCAGCTCTGGGTGGGTATTTGTCTCTCAGGGCTTGTGCTGAATTGGCATCTCTGGTGGCACCTGTGTCCTCGCTGGTGATGACTCTGCTGGCCCGTACAGTGTTGTCTTCTTCTATTTCTTGCTGATTGTTCTGATTTTGAGTCCCTGTGGCGCTGTTCTTACCTGTAATGTCTTTAATAGAAGGTACTTTCATATTCCTTACCTTAAATTTGTCTTTAATGACTGATAAAGCTAATGTTTTGTCTTTCCTTGCGGGGGACAGCTAGACATGTGTTGACATACAGTAGGAGGTTGTGCCATGCTCAGGTTGTTCTCATGGAGTTCATGTGTATGACAGTTGCTTGATGGTTCCTCTGGGCTAGGAGCCTGCCTGTCTGTTATGACGTGTGCCATGGGCGGGAACAGACATATATATATATATATATGTGTATATATATATATATATATATATATATATATATATATATATATATATATATATATATATATATATATATATATATATATATATATATATATATATATATAAGAACTCTAATTGACCCGACCAGGATTCGAACCCATGCCGCACAGGATCCCCCCTAAACGTGCACAGTACCGTGACCATAGCACTAATGACAGAATTTGATGGTCCGATGTGAACATACGACCACCTCGCGCCCTCATGGTCCGATGTGAACATACGACCACCTCGCGCCCTCATGGTCCGATGTGAACATGGTAACCATCATGGGGCCGTCGTGGTTCAGTGTGACCATGGTGGTTGTCATGGTCTACCGATAGGGCCACCATGGCCCCAGTATGGGGGTCCCAAGCAACATGGGGCCCATCAGCCTCAATTGGTTTATTAGAGCCTATCGACCTCTGGAGGGTTATTAAGGCCACCACAATAACTTACTACTGGTGGCGTCCGTCTCCACCTGGTGACGTCCGTCTCCAGCTGATGACGTCCGTCTCCTGCTGGTGGCGTCCGTCTCCAGCTGGTGGCGTCCGTCTCCAGCTGGTGACGTCCGTCTCCAGGTGGTGGCGTCCGTCTCCAGCTGGTGACGTCCGTCTCCAGGTGGTGACGTCCGTCTCCAGCCGGTGACGTCCGTCTCCAGCTGATGACGTCCGTCTCCAGCTGATGACGTCCGTCTCCAGCTGATGACGTCCGTCTCCAGGTGGTGGCGTCCGTCTCCAGCTGGTGACGTCCGTCTCCAGCTGATGACGTCCGTCTCCTGCTGGTGGCGTCCGTCTCCAGCTGGTGACGTCCGTCTCCAGGTGGTGACGTCCGTCTCCAGCCGGTGACGTCCGTCTCCAGCTGATGACGTCCGTCTCTTGCTGGTGGCGTCCGTCTCCAGCTGATGACGTCCGTCTCCAGCTGGTGACGTCCGTCTCCAGGTGGTGACGTCCGTCTCCAGGTGGTGACGTCCGTCTCCAGGTGGTGACGTCCGTCTCCAGCTGGTGACGTCCGTCTCCACCTGGTGACGTCCGTCTCCAGCTGATGACGTCCGTCTCCACCTGGTGACGTCCGTCTCCAGCTGATGACGTCCGTCTCCTGCTGGTGGCGTCCGTCTCCAGCTGGTGACGTCCGTTTCCAGGTGGTGACGTCCGTCTCCAGCCGGTGACGTCCGTCTCCAGCTGATGACGTCCGTCTCTTGCTGGTGGCGTCCGTCTCCAGCTGATGACGTCCGTCTCCAGCTGGTGACGTCCGTCTCCAGGTGGTGACGTCCGTCTCCAGCAGGTGACGTCCGTCTCCAGGTGGTGACGTCCGTCTCCAGGTGGTGACGTCCGTCTCCAGCTGGTGACGTCCGTCTCCACCTGGTGACGTCCGTCTCCAGCTGATGACGTCCGTCTCCACCTGGTGACGTCCGTCTCCAGCTGATGACGTCCGTCTCCTGCTGGTGGCGTCCGTCTCCAGCTGGTGACGTCCGTCTCCAGCTGGTGACGTCCGTCTCCAGCTGGTGACGTCCGTCTCCAGCTGATGACGTCCGTCTCCTGCTGGTGGCGTCCGTCTCCAGCTGGTGACGTCCGTCTCCAGGTGGTGGCGTCCGTCTTCAGCTGGTGGCGTCCGTCTCCAGGTGGTGGCGTCCGCCTCCAGGTGGTGGCGTCATTAATGCCTGACATTACCTTTGTAATTCTTCTCTGGCCGTTCAATTGAGTTATAATCCATCCTACAGGCAGGAGACCAAAACTAAACTGCATAATATAAATGTTAACTAAGGAGGGCTAGATAACGCTGATAACGTTATTACGCTAGATAATAACTGATAACGCTAGATAACGTTATTACTTTTGGTGATGTGTATGGTAAGGTGGTTATAGGAGAAAGCGCTAAGCCTGAATATACCACTTGGAAGCTCAACCACTTGGACCATCAGGATCGAACGCCGACCAGCGTGAATTGAGGTCGGTCCACTGAACCAGGCTGGGTAAATGGTCTGTTATTGTAAAATTGTAATATTTCGATTATATAAAAATATACATGTGTTTGTTTCTCCACGAGGCGCAGTTTTGTAGGACCGCTGTTTCTGTTTAGTGATTCGTAGGCCTACTGTTTGTGTGTTTGTAGTTGTGTACACCTATGTCTGTTTGGCCGTGGTGTTGGGCAGAAATAATTGTATTTAAATGCTATCCCAGTGTACATTTTTGCTTGGTTCTACCTTCATGCATTTTGACTACATCAATAAATATACAGGACTCCTCACCATGAGGAGCGTGGTGACGGTGGCTGGTGAGGACAAGCGCCAGGAGGTGTTTACAGGACCGTCTCGTTGAACGCTGGAGTGGTGTTGTCGTCGGTGTCGTAACCCAACGTGGCGCTCGAACCCGGGCTCTCGAAGCGGACCCTGAGGGCTGAGGCGGGACTCCGACGGGTGTCTGCCTTCTGCGTGCTCGCCAGCAGCGTCTGTTGCTCCTCGCTCCCGGGCATAGTGCTCTCTTCTGTGTCTTCTGTTGCGCTTCCCACCTCTATGGTCTCCAGGGGACAGTAGTCGACTTCTGTGGCGTTGCGCACCAGACTCGCCCTCTTGGGAAGACCCTTCTTGTACTCCTGCTGCTGCTGCGACTTGTCAGCTGCCGGGTCGAAGACGCTGACGACGGAGCTGCGGGTTCCGTTAGGGAGGGTGCTTCTCTCTGAAGACTTGGGCGATGGATGGCAACCAGCTGAAGGCCGCCGGGAGCTGCTGCCTCCACCTGGCGCCGCCCTGCCTCATATGACCGTCTCCGAGGTGCACGAACGGCCCGTGCGGGGAGGACCGTTGTTCGTAGAATAGCGACTCGAGTCTTCCCGTCGCGGCGTTCGTCCGCGAATGAAGAGATCGCGGAACGTCTCGCGAAACTGGCGCGACATGCCGCAGTAGATGGCGAAGTTGATGGGGTAGGAGAATATAATGAAGGAGTTCGAGAGGATGAAGAAATACATGAGCATGTTGTAGGACTCGTTGGAGAAGAGTTCGAGGCCCATGTTGGAGACGATGTGGAGGAGCGTGATGACCGCCAGCGGGATCTCCGTCACCAGGAACACCGACACCACGGCGATCAGCATCAGTGTCGTGCAGTTCGAGTCGCTCAGCTTCTTGCATTCTCTCTTGGAGTTCTTGTCGTGTAGGAGCTTCTTCCTGCGCTTCTGCGCCTCCTTCATGGCGGTGAAGAGCAGGAGGTTGAGCACGACGAGCACCGTGCACGGGCCCAGGTGCACGAACACGACACGGAACCAGAAGTAGATGGGAAAGTAAGTGTCGGCCGTGATGAGCATCACCCAGTCGCTGAGCTTCTCGCTGCAGACGGACACGCACTCTCCGTGCCACTCCATGTCCACCATGTCGTACACGGTGTCGAAGAACCGCGGCGCCTGGTGGACCGTGGCCAGGATGAAGATCAACACTATGGCCTTGATGACGCGTGGCAGCGTGCACCAGGTGCGGGCCACGGGCGGGTGGCACACGTAGATGTACCGCTGCACCGCCAGGGCCACCGTCAGCCAGATGGACGCCGTGTGGAACAGGTTGGGGATGTCCTCGTGCAGGAAGCTCCAGGCGTAGCACGCGGCCTCGGGATGCAGCGGCTTGGCGTGGTTGTCCAGCGTGTACATGTAGAAGAACATGGGCTCTGGGAAGAGTACGGTGAGCATGTCTGAGAGCGCCATGGCCATCAGCACGGCGTTGGTGGGGGAGCGCATGTGGTGCTGCCACAGCACGGCCACGATGATGGTGTTGGCCACCGTCGTCACCACCAGCAGTACGGGCATGGCGTACCCGTACAGCGGTACGGCCAGGTCCAGCGGGTACAGGTTGCTCACGTTCACGAAGTCTGTGGCATTACCGGTGCCACAGGTGCCATTGACCGGCAGGAAGTGGCTCTCGGAGTCGTTGGCGCCGTAGTCTGCCAGAGTCTCGTTCTCCATTGTGGTGATGAAGGTGCTGGGGATATGGTGAAGAGTCACTATCTCCGCTGCGACAGTGTCGAGGGCTTCACTATCACCAGCTACCACTATCCACTCTCCTCCACGTCACCATTACCACGTTCCTTCATCGTCTTGTAATCACCAAATCAGTCACTTTCCGACCAATGGCAGCGAAGCAGCACTCCTGTTGTCTCACCACTTAGCGATGCCACGATCGGACGGGCTTCAGAACACCATCAATGGCAATCCGACGACTGTCAAAACATTATCACCTCACAAGGTCTCAATGTATATAGATTTTTAATTGAAATGTCGAGAAAACAAAGTTAATTTTCTTTTCAAGGAAGTCTGTAAACAAGACCACGAGCTAAGCTTGGTGTTGTGGGTGATAATTGGTGGTTGGTGCGTACACACGTCGTGGAGGCTCGTGTGCGTGTGTGTGTGTGTGTGGGTGTGTGTACGCAGGTGAGCAGCGGCGACCGTCCACACTCTTCCCCGGCCGCCGGGACACTGAGCTGAGAGACGCTTCACTTCTCTCAGCCACCACCTCGCTTCTCCCACCATTATTGCTGACACCACAACATCTGCCACCACTGCTGACACCAGTACTACCACCACTTCTAATAACATTAATATAACCACTGTTACCACAATTAATGTAATCGCTGCTGCCACCACCACCACAACCACTTCTGCCACCACCACTACTGCCTCCACCACCACCACTACTACAACCACCACTACTACAACCACTACAATCACCACCACCACTACTGCCACCACCACCCAATATTGCCACCACCACCCACTACTGCCACCACCCCCAGGCAGCCACATATGCGCATTACATTCCTATATAATTATGCATGGCTCTACAGTATATTTGTAAGTTAAACACTATAAACGTCTATGTAAATATTGTGTAATTGGTTTTGTTGACACGCTTATAATGGTGATACCTGTCATCTATATCTCTCCTTCACTCTCTCTCTCTCTCTCTCTCTCTCTCTCTCTCTCTCTCTCTCTCTCTCTCTCTCTCTCTCTCTCTCTCTCTCTCTCTCTCTCTCTCTCTCTCTCTCTCTCTCTCTCTCTCTCTCTCTCTCTCTCTCTCTCATAGTAATGTACACCGTTATTCACTGATCTCGGAAAATTTAACATATGATATGTGTGCGTGTAATCACCTAGTTGTGATTGCCAGGGTTGAGCTCTGGCTCTTTGGTCCCGCCTCTCAACTGTTAATCAACTGATGTACAGATTCCTGAGCCTACTGGACTCTATCATATCTACGTTTTAAACTGTGTATGGAGTCAGCCTTCACCCACATCACTGCCTAATGCATTCCATCTGTTAACTAATCTGACACTTAAAAAGTAGTTCTTTCTGACGTCCTTGTGACTCATTTGGGTACTCAGTCTCCACCTGTGTCCCCTTGTTCGCGTACCATCCGTGTTAAACAGTTTATCTTATCTACACTGTCAATTCCTCTGAGAATTGTGTAGGTAGTAATCATGTATCCTCTTACTCTTCTGTCTTCCAGTGTCGTCAGGTGCATTTCTCGCAGCCTTTCCTCGTAGCCTCCTACTGTCTTCTTGTAGCCTCCTACTGTCTTCCTCTGTCTTAATCCTCCTCATAATTTTTGCATCATTAGCAAACAATGAGAGGATGCAAACAATATGTGTGTGTGTGTGTGTGTGTGTGTGTGTGTGTGTGTGTGTGTGTGTGTGTGTGTGTGTGTGTGTGTGTGTGTGTGTGTGTGTGTGTGTGTGTGTGGGGGGGGGGGGTGTTTACCTTACTCCATGTTCTAAACCTCACCTGACGTTCGTGATGCCGTCCAGCGCTTCCAAAACAAGTGAATGTATTGACATATTCCAACGCTGCTTTCATAGCCGGTGATTGTTGTTTGTTGAACTGGTAGGTGTGTACGGCTCGGTGACGGGTGTGTACGGCTCGGTGACGGGTGTGTACGGCTCGGTGACGGGTGTGTACGGCTCGGTGATGGGTGTGTACGGCTCGGTGACGGGTGTGTACGGCTCGGTGACGGGTGTGTACGGCTCGGTGATGGGTGTGTACGGCTCGGTGACGGGTGTGTACGGCTCGGTGATGGGTGTGTACGGCTCGGTGACGGGTGTGTACGGCTCGGTGATGGGTGTGTACGGCTCGGTGACGGGTGTGTACGGCTCGGTGACGGGTGTGTACGGCTCGGTGATGGGTGTGTACGGCTCGGTGACGGGTGTGTACGGCTCGGTGACGGGTGTGTACGGCTCGGTGATGGGTGTGTACGGCTCGGTGATGGGTGTGTACGGCTCGGTGACGGGTGTGTACGGCTCGGTGACGGTGTGTACGGCTCGGTGACGGGTGTGTACGGCTCGGTGACGGGTGTGTACGGCTCGGTGACGGGTGTGTACGGCTCGGTGATGGGTGTGTACGGCTCGGTGACGGGTGTGTACGGCTCGGTGACGGGTGTGTACGGCTCGGTGATGGGAAGAACCAGGTAACTACAAGACAACACAACCCTCGCTTAAATGACATTGCTTCACACAAAATATTTTTTAGGTGAAGAATATCGGAGTTTTTTCGGGTCGAGTCGACCTATTTCCTGCCTACATTCACACGCACACACTGTCACACACACTCGCACACGCACACGCTCGCACACGCACACACTGTCGCACACGCACTCTCTCAGGCACATTCTCCCACACTCATTCTCACACACACTCACCATGTGCTTGAGACAATCTATAAGCCAATCACCCAGCTCTTGAGGCAATCTGTGAGCCACTCACTCTGTACTGGAATCAATCTGTGATTCAAGATTACTCCAAACTATAGGGGACCCTCACCTCCAAACTAGAGGTTCCTCACCTCCAAACTAGAGGTCCCTCACCAGCAAACTAGAGGTCCCTCACCCCCAAACTAGAGGTCCCTCACCCCCAAACTAGAGGTCTCTCACCTCCAAACTAGAGAGGTCCCTCACCTCCAAAAGGAACATATTCCCAGGTCTCCACATCAATGTCCACGACTCTGATTCAATTCAATCAAACGATACGGCGCTGCTGCGAGGCTTTCCCTGTGTGTGTTTTTGTGTGTGTATACTCATCTAGTTGTGCTTGCGGGGGTTGAGCTCTGGCTCTTAGGGCCCGCCTCTCAACTGTTTCTAACTATTAACTATTTTTTTCCTACACACAGACACACACCCATCCCCAGGAAGCAGCTCCGTAACAGCTGTCTAACTCCCAGGTACCTATTTACCGCTAGGTAACAGGGGCATTCAGGGTGAAAGAAACTTTGTCCATTTGTTTCTTCCTGGTCCGGGAATCGAACCCGGGCCACGGGATTACGAGACCTGCGCTGTCCACTCAGCTACCAGACCCCCATGTGTGTGTCTGTGCGTGTGTGTGTGCTCACCTAATTGTGCTTGCGGGGGTTGAACATGGGCACTTTGTTCCCGCCTCACCACTGTCAATCAACAGGTTCCTGAGCCTATTGGGCTCTATTATAGTTACACTTGAAACTGTGTATGGAGTCTGAGGTATCATTTCTGATCCTATGGTATATTTCTCTGCTCTCTGGTGTCCGGTTATTTCTATAGTTTCTCCACGCCCTTGTGCTTAGTTGCTTTACCAGCGTACATCTCTGATTAAACCATGGGTTAAATGGGTTAAACCATGGGTTAATCATGGGTTAAAATAATAAATTGGGTTCATTTGCATTTCGGTTTTTTTCCTATAGGACCGGGAGAAACTTGTCTGCTGCCTCCTTACACATCAGCGTGATGTAGTCCATCGTGTCTTGGGCCGTCTTTCCTCTGAACTCTGTTTCCCATCTTATATCTGTTAGGAATTTTCTTATCTCCTCGTAGTTTCCCTTTCGGAAAACAAACTATTGTTGTTCTAGTACTGATTCCTCTGGAAGTATGCTTGTGGCACTCTGATTGTGGCACTCTATATGAGGCACTCTGCTTGTGGCACTCTATATGAGGCACTCTGCTTGTGTCACTCTGCTTGTGGCACTCTATATGAAGCACTCTGCTTGTGGCACTCTATATGAGGCACTCTGCTTGTGGCACTCTATATGAGGCACTCTGCTTGTGTCGCTCTGCTTGTGGCACTCTATATGAATCACTCTGCTTGTGGCACTATATGAGGCACTCTGCTTGTGTCACTCTGCTTGTGGCACTCTGCTTGTGGCACTATATGAGGCACTCTGCTTGTGGCACTCTGCTTGTGGCACTCTGCTTGTGGCACTCTATATGAGGCACTCTATATGAAGCACTCTGCTTGTGGCACTCGCGAAGGGGTCTCTACCCTTCCTCTTCCTCATTCTTCCCCCTCACCTCTCACTTCCCTCTTCTTTCTCTCACTCTCCACCTCTCACTCTCCGTCTCTCCCTCCATATCCCTCCTATCGTGTTCTCATCGTTCCCATCAACACCTCGGTTGATTATTAAGGCCACGACGGAAATAATTCACGCTTGGCAGGTAGTGAGAAGGGGGGGGGGGGGGGGGGGGGGGGGGGGGGCTTATTGAAGAGGGGCAGTGAGGAGGGAGTGTGGGGGGGGGGTGACGGTATGGGAGAGGAGGAAAGGGTGTTGTGGTAGGGGGTTATGGAAAGGAGAGAGAGAGAGAGAGAGAGAGAGAGAGAGAGAGAGAGAGAGAGAGAGAGAGAGAGAGAGAGAGAGAGAGAGAGAGAGAGAGAGACAGAGAGAGAGGAGGCGGAAGTATGGTGTGTTAACACCTGTTTACGAGGTGTGTGTGTGTGTGTGTGTGTGTGTGTGTGTGCTTGCGGGGTTGTGCTGTGTGGTTTCGTGTGTGTGTCAACTGTGTGTGTGTGTGTATTCACCTAGAGTTGCTTGCGGGGTTGAGCTCTACTCTTTCGACCCGCCTCTCAACTGTCAATCAATCAACTGTTAATCAAAACCGCCTCTCAACTGTCAATCAATCAACTGTTAATCAAAACCGTCTCTCAACTGTCAATCAAAACTTCGCTGCAGCAAACTTCTCAAGCTTTCATCCCCGCCCTTCTTCTTTTAATGTTCATTGTAAACATTTCATTATTTTCTCACTGTCAATTCCCCAAAGTATTTTATACGTCTCTATCGTATCTCCCCCCCCTCCCTCTCTCTCTCTCTCTCTTCTATTCTAGCATCGTTAGGCCTAGTTCATTTAACCTGTCTTCATACCCTATCCTTCGCAATTTTGGAACGAGCCTAGTTGCAACAATTCTGAACCTTACCGAGTTTCTTATGTGTTTTTAGATGGGGCTCCATGATATGACGGCATACTCTCAAAACTGGTCTCAAGCAGGCGGTGAACTGATATCTTAATGCCTCCCGATTCAAGTTCCTGAAGGATGTTCTGACTTTTTTGTCAGGGTAGAGTATGCCGCGGTCATTATTCTGTTCATATGGGCCTCTGGAGTTGGGTTTGGTGTTATGTCCACTCCCAAGTCTCTTTCTCTAGATAGGGAGGTAGTTTCCCTTCATCATGTACTGTCCCTCTGGTCGCCTATCATCTGTTCCCATTTGCATCACCTTACTCTTGCTGGTATTGAAATTCAGTAGCTCTTTCTCGGACCAACTCTGCAGTTTGTTTAAATCATCTTCGAGAATTTCACAATCTTCATCTGTCTCAACTTTTCTCTGTTTTGCAATCGTCTGCAAACATCGACAAATAAGCACAAAGAAATCACATTAACCTGATGTATCATTGCACTGCACTTTACCATGTTGCATTGTTACGTTACATTGTTCTCTTTCACCGTCTCACAGTTTTGTGCAGTGCCTTTTTCTGTTCCAGAATCATGGCATCTTTCCAGTCTCTCCTGTTCTAATTTCCTCTGCGCCCTCCATATAGTTATATTCTCTTCTCCATCGTGAATTGTTCTGTATAACTGCGTTAACAACAGTAGTAGCAGTAGCAGTAGTAGCAGTAACAGCAGTAGCAGCAGCAGCAGCAGGAAGCAGCAACAGTAGCAGCAACAACAGCAGAAGCAGCAGCAACTCAACTCTTCTGATTTGAGAGATACAGTTTATGCATTACAAGTATGTCCGTGTTAGTTATCAGTTCTATCGTCAACCGTTAGACATGGGCATGAGGCCGCCAATTACTGCTGCGGATGCAGATTTATTCATGGGTTGCCTCTGTGTATGGCCATTATCACACCACAAGCCCCACCACTCAAACACCTTCAATATGTTCACAAAGCTTTAATCCTCACACCACACAGCTTCAACCCGGATAATATTAGGGGACAGACTTAATAATGTTGAACCTGCAAAAGTTTTAGATATAGAAAGTGTCATTTTCTCACATGGGAAGTCCGCAGGAAACCAACTTTCGAAATAGCCTCAATAACTTTAGCTCTAAGGACGATAATGGGTAATGGGACGAAAGTTCACATAGTGATTGGATACTTCTCTGAGCTTTTGCGATATGTAGCCGGCGGTTCCTAGTGCAAGAGGATTGTTTACTGAATCATTTGTATACATTTAATAACCCATATCCTTCATTAGTGAATGTAGAGAGTGAATATCAGAGATGAACAAGAACGTTAACAGAACCACCACAACGGTTCAGCCTCCCAAGAGGACAGACGATAAACAATATGATCAACACCTTCAATGAAGTCCATAAAGATGTGTAGCGAACATCTGCAACACTCAACACCCTTGTCAGGTGCGGAACTTGCAGCGACGTCATCGCTACACCCGGGGTGTATACTATTACCCTGCAATAGCTGGGACAAAGTTTACATAAGGTAAACTTGCCGAAACTTAGAATGCGAGGATTTACGAACGCTTGCACGCCTGTCGCGTCGCTGACAGGAGCCCGGCTTGTGTCGCAGGCTGGCACCTCCGGGAGCTCAGGGGTACCAACCTCAGCGTCAACAACACAGCAACGCCAAGAGACAATGCATCAAATCTGCAGATATCAAACACATCATTGAACAGAATGAACAAAGCGTCAACATTGCAATTTTATAATGTCTCTATGGCT